GGATGCGGCCAAGAGTACGAACAGCGGGTATGCTGGCCCATTTTATTTTGCCACTATCAAAGTCACCCCCTGAGTGACAGGTTGAAGGGAAACACCCCCGGTTGCAGACTTTGATAAGCCAACGAAACTGTCAAAATCATGACCCCTGGTAGTAGCACTCAATGGCGCAAATGAATGGACCTTGCCCGAGGCAACGTAGCGACCTGGTCCAACGGAGCAAAGCAAAGGCGGATTCGGTCGCTAGGGGTCTGGCCAAATGTCGATTGCACCTTGGAACGTGCCAACCGAAACGTGTCAAGAATGAATGGGCAGGGGTGCGCCCACCGTGACCATGCTGGGCTTCAGCTTCTGATGAGCAACTGCAACTTGTTGGTATGAAACGCATATCACACAGGTTTGCTCCAAAGACCGTCGTACAAGGGATATGTTTCATACCTGGAAAGGGGAATCAACGCAAACCAAACCAATTAGTCTACCCTTGTGTTTGGGTCATCATTCAAAGGCTCCGAGCAGTCGCCGAAACTTGTCAAACACTTTGAATGTTGGTTTGGCATGGCGGCCAACAAGTTGGGCGTCCATGACAACAAGCCTCCAAGCGCTGATTGAGCTCCGGGCATGAGTAGTCCGTCCAGGAGCAAAGCACCTGCGCGAGGCCCCGGCGACGGAGCTTCCATTTCAATCCAAAGGTCCTTGGAAGACCAAGGGGTCTACAGGCAATGTTTCAATCCCCGGAAGTGCAAAACAATCCACTGCCAGCAACATGTCTCCATGTGCAACTTACATGCAACTTCCATGCGCAAAACCCATGACACTCGCAAAAGCAAGGACTTCTGGGCATCTTGGCGGTTGGGCCAGGCCGCCGTGAAACAAACCAGCATCACCTTCGGCCTAGGCAAAACGGATGGTTTCTTAGATTGTGGTGTATATTCCTTATTCAGTGAATCTTAGACTGTCACAAATTCAGCGCCTCTTTCGGATCCCAGTGCCCTTTGTTCTCCCTGTCAAAGGAGCTTTCAAAGGTGTCCAACTGACCTGCCCGGCCTGGCCAAAACATTTTTTACACTTTTTAGGTCACCAACATGAAAACACCCGCAAGCAATGGCTTCACGTGTGCTAACTGAAGAGGTAAGCCAACTTGGTGGCTAATACCCCCCCCCCCGCCCAAAAGGTACAAACCGCTCTGCAGGTTTGTGGGAAAACCCTCAGTTTTCACCAACACATCATAAGGAAAAAGAAGGCATTTCCCGATCCCCGTTTTCTTTTTTTTTGTAACATCAATGCCTAGGATTGAACATCCGCACGAATGGCATAGCCACAAGATCTGCCGCCCTTCCAAATCGGCTTAAACCAAAAATTGGCCTCTGGAGCTCGGTACCACCTGGTGCACACGTACCTGACAACATCTCGAGCGGCAACTGCTCCTCACTGCCCAGAGTTGAATGGACAAGTTCAGACGTGCAGACGTTTTGATTTACTACGATCTTTGAAAAACACAGAAGTGATAGTCATAGTCAAAACCAAGCTATTTCTGGTTGGGATTGTCGCTTACTTACCTTCATCTACCCGGGTGTTGGTTGTGGCTCACATGATCTTCAGACAAAGCAAACTAACGAGTACAACAACTCAGGAAGCAAGACTCCCGGCCTAGGAAACGAAAACATGCACATTGGAACCTTCGTGCCATTGCTTCAGGCTTCGGAATAACCAGAAACATCGCCCACATGTAATACACGTTGCGGCGATTCCAAATCCACATGTATAGCAGCTAACCAAGGGGGCTGCCCTTTCACAACCTGAAGCAAACTGATGGTGCTAACTATGTAGTATATAATATAACTGTTGCAGCGATCGAATAGGACTGCCCCTAATAGCGGACAAATGAGTGGTCCAACTGGAGTCAAGCTATCTGTAGCAGATGTGCGATGACATCGTCGGAACCGACAAGGGACCATCACAAACCAGTACCCTTGTAATGCTGCCTGTTGCTCATGTTCATGTTACCGTCGGATCAATGTGAAAGACAATGCAAAATGTGGGATTCCCAAAGGACGAACTCCCACAACATAAAATGGAACCACATGGAACCACATCTGCTTCAACTGCTTCCATTTGCTTAAGCCCCCTGGAGAAACAAAACAAAAAACATACGTAATGTCCAGTAGTGAAATCGATTCCCTTTAAAAAGAACAGGGGAAAATAACTCATATATTCGTTTCAGCAAATGGAAGTCTGACTAGTGGGATCCGAAGACGAACCTAGCTAGGGACAACAAACACCTGGTGGTGTTTAATGGAAATCTACGGCTTGACAAGAGGCAATTGATGCAACCCACTTGCTCTCGCAGTTGCCCAGTGACGCTAGAACAAGAATTGGAACCCGGAACCCTGTTGGAATTGATCTTTTTTTGTGGGTCCCAAATACAAGACACCTCACTCAAGCACCGCACTCAAGCCTCTCAGGCTCTCCCCGAGATTTCGAATCGGATCGAAGGTCACTCGGTCATCGGGCACACCCACTCCTTGTCGGAAAACCGCACCCGTGCGAGGCCAAAGTCACAGATCTGCCAAAGACATAGATTCGGCGAGTCGCTGCGGAAACGGCTGGGCGCTCTGAAACTGTTCACCGCCGGAACGGGTGCCAAGGGGTTGTCTCTACATGTGGGAACCTCCCCCTCCACAAATGCGTTTCTGCCCCTGGAACAACCTCTAAAAGCGTGGTCTCAAAAACTCACAACCCAATAAGATGACTCATCTTTCGGTGCACTGTTTTTGGGGTACCATATTAATTATTCATTATCAGTGCTTGCGTGGCCCGCGAAGGAGCAATGGCCTTTGTTTATTGTAAGCGGCGGCTTAGCCTACCCCCTAGTCCAAATACCCACTTTTCCAGGACATTTTTTGAACCGCCTGGGTTACCATGGTAAATGCCTCCTTTTTGAGTAGAGGGTCGACATCATACCCAAAAAAATGAGGGTATTTGGAGTGGGGGGTATCACTTTTCAAGCCTTTCTTTATCCCATGCCGACGTCCATCTTTGCAAAGGAATAGCACCAGCTGGCCGAGCCAAAACACTGCAGCTAGCTCAACTGTCTCCCCTTGCCTCTAGTTTTCTATTCCCGGAGAATTGGCCATCTGAGGCACATGTTCAACAAACAGATTCCGCTGCATGTGTTTGGCCTACGCTAGGGAAAATGTACCTGGACCCTCTATGACCCTTTAAACATGGGGTCATTGCCCAAAATTAAGGGGTTGCGACCCACTGGAAAAAGGTCATGGAGACTCTGGGTAACACTGTTGCAGGAGACCCTGAAAAAGTTGAACAGTTTCGCTCAGAACAGCCAGAGTCTCGGGCTCTCAAAAAGGTTTGTGGGGAGTCCAAATCTGGAGGTCCACCATAGTCCAAATCTGGAGGTCCACTATGGGTCTGCTTGGAGAATTCCAATGCCACAAGGCTCCTTAAAGGGAACCTTCATGGGGATTACCCAGGCTCCATGTCACCTCTTTTTTAAACACAGGAGGTCGGAAGATCAGATTCGGCGCGTCTTGCTTGAGGGATAGAAAAGAACCCAAGTGGAAAACACCCTTTGGAGGGTTCCCCTGTTGCGAGACAAACATCCAACCAGTGAATTGCCCTCTTTGCACTAGTGGAATAAGTGGACAGGGGGCTTCGGGACCCGAAATCCTGTTGACCCCTGGTGGCTTCCCTTGGAAGAGTACTTGGGGTAATGGAGCTTTCTCCAAATACCAAAAGCAACACCATCCTCACGACATCCTCACCTTCAAGGGGCCGGGGTTCCTCTCTGGTATCGAAGAAACTGAGCCCAAATCCCAGCTTCAGACCATTCCGGGCCCCATCAAGCTGGCGCCAAATGCGTGGTTTGCCTCTTCAGGGGACCCTCAAAATATGGCGGTTCGCCTTCTGGTTTCCCTGTGACACCTCCGGAACAGGATCTGTTTTTTTCCCGTGACCCCCCCAATGGTAAGTTATGGTGGAGACTTGGTAGCGTCTTTGAGAAGGTTTTTTCCCTGTGAAACCACCCCAAAAAGGGAAACCAACCATAAGAAACAAGACGCAGCCAAATGGAAAAACTCGACCGCCTTGAGATCGCAGTTGCTGTTCACCAAGAGGTTCCGGGGCTTGAGATCTCGGTGGATGACCTGCCGGCTTCGCCTTGCTTCCCTGGTGGTCTGGATGGGTGTGTGACCCGTGTACCCGCAAGAACCAGGAATCCTGCACCACCGAAGAAACCTGGAATGATAAACCAACTGCAAATACCAACAAACAATGGTCTCCAATGGTTTCCAAGTAGTGCAGGATCGTCCACAGCATCCCACCAACTCAGACCAATCGTAAGGGTCACTTGAGGGTGGATACAGCCAAAGCTATTTAAATAACAGATTCTGTGACTCCGAAGCGGGTCATCCCCCAGAACTAGCTTGCCACTCTAAAGAAAAATATCCTCGTATCGCAGGACTGGGGCAGTCGAAGACCATGTTTTGTCAACCATGCCCATACCACACACACACACACACTGTGGGGTTTGCCAACAGCCGAGGTTTTGAACGCACCTCTAAATCCCCAAACCTTTTTTTAAACCATTGCGGGAAATTCAGCAGTCAAATGTCCCGAGCGTACCCCCCCTGCCCCAGTTCTATGTTTTCGGGTGGGGTTCCCAAGCTCAAAGGATGTCCCCTTCTGGTTTTCAGACCCTCGGCATTAGAGCCGCGAACCAAAAGTTCGAATTGGGCCTAACTTGGGCCTGACCTGGGCCAGACATAGACACAAAAAGAGATGCTTTCAGTGTTGGCTGGTTGAGAAAAAGGCCGACAAGGAAAACATATGTCAAAACAGGAGGGAAAACCAACTCTGGCCAGCCTTGCGATTCGGGCGAACAGACCGGGCTTCTTGAGTCATGGTCAGAAGCGCCCTCCAAAAGAAGGTCCCCCATTTAGAAAGGCGGATGCATCAAAAAACACGGACAAGGAGGGGGCACTTCGAACTCAAGACATCTCATCCGCCTGCGCCGAGTGGACATACTTCATGCCCCGCAGGATCTGGTACAAAAAGAACCTGAGGCATGGAGCCGGGGGACGATGAGAAGGCTAGACACAACTAAAAGCCCGGAAGGCCTTGCTAAAAAAAAATACACCAGCTAGGTGGCACCATTCCCCTTGTGATATAATCGCAGGGTAAAATCAAATCAAAATTTGGGGTGATGCTACCATGTACCTCCATCAAATTGTGCTTTGGGTTTCTTTTCTCTCTGACACACAGGGGGTAGCAACTCCAACAAAACGACGCCGTTTTTGCCGGACTGAAGGCCCAGGCTGGCAGTGGTCGTCTGTCAGCACCTGCGACGACCTGGGCTCGGTGTCGAGATGCCAAAGGGAAACGGTTCCAGGTGCAAAATCAAAGGTGCCAGCAGACCCCTGGAACATACCCAGTTATCTACAGGGGTTCATTCCTTTTCCATTCTGGTCAACCATCCTTCTTTTCAAAAAACCGGCCGTGTTGTTTTTTTTTTTTTTTTCTTTTTTTTTTTCTGGGGTTCTGATGGTCTTCTGGAAAGAAGGATCCCTGGAAAGAATGGGGAAGTGTCCCCCTAGAAATTAAGGAAAAGCCAACATGAGTAAAGTAGGGGTTAATACAGCTCTAAATATGGCTTAATCTCCTTGGGGCTTGGTCTGGAGGTCAGTGGGGTAAGATGGGGTAAGTCTGTGATTCCAGCTACCGTAAAAGGCATAACGGGAAACTATCATGTCAAACCCAGAAGTAAAATACCTGGATACCATGGTAAGTGAAAGCACTGGGGGAACTAACTAGTCTCTATGGCACAGGTATAATATGATAAACGGTCATTTCAATCTTTTCAGGGTGGCAGATTCTCTGGAAACCGTCTATAGCATCGCAATCAAAGACTGAACTCTACAACAAAGACTAAACCGCGGAGAGATCCCCCGAAATTTTGCAGGACATTTCCAGAACACAGGCCGCAAGTCTCTTTTTGGACATCGAAACCGCGGAACCAAAAGCATCGAGTTCCGGGTGCTTGTTGATTTGAGGGAAACTTTTTGTGGTTGTTGATGGACAGGTTCCCTTAAAGGATGCATCCAGAATCCACCTGCCTCACAGCATGATCAAAATCAGCTGGCAAGGTGTTTTTTCAATGGCTCATTTTTGGTGTTCGCACCACTATTCTACCAGTAGCAAAGTCACCCCCAAGTAGAAATTTTAGCGAAACCACCGACCAGTGCGTGGCTTTCACCCTTCCGAAAACCCTCAAAAGAATCGCCTCATATTTTTGCTGCCGCCGCCCATTTCGGGTCCCGCTTACAGACTCCCGCCTCAAGGTGGAAGCCAGGTCGGTCTCCATAAGCTCCGACACAACATAGAGCTCCTCGGGCAACGCGCAAAACGGGGGTCTGAAGTATGGCTCACAGCAACCAACGAGTTTCCTTTGCGTTGGCTCCAAAAAAGATAGGGTTAAGCACCCTACCCTAAACACATGCGACTGCCAACTGTTCTGTGACTTTCTGCCAACTGTTTCTGGCCAACTGTTGTCCGCGGCTTCCTCTGCGTACTACTTGCCCTTGATTACTTGCCTAGTGGCCGTGAACAAACAGCTAAATCCTTTTGTATGGAGGGGGGCGGCTCTGTTGGGAACCCCCCACCCCCCCGAACTCAAAGAAAACAGGGGACGTGGCTGATCTGCGTGCCAAGCATATCAGGCACCAGGGCACTCAAGCAGCCGTCCTTGAAGGATGACCTGGAACCCACCATGAAGATGTTCTTCACCTGCGGCTTGTCAGTTTGCTCGGAAAGAAATTGCTTCACCTGGGCATCTCTAAACGCACACATTCTGGGATCTGCCCAAAATGAGCCAAGCGGGGTTCACTCTGAACACATCCCCGATTTGAGGCTGTGCTCAAACGAGGCACCTTCTTGGAGCTGGCTTCAAGGGAAGCAGCAAAGAGTCAGCCACTCAACCATCAGTTCACATATTCGACCCACACACACACACACGCACGCACGCACGCACGCACGCACGCACGCACGCACGCACGCACGCACGCACGCACGCACGCACGCACGCACGCACGCACGCACGCACGCACGCACGCACGCACGCACGCACGCACGCACGCACGCACGCACGCACACATGCAACCCCCAGCGGGTCTGGGTCTTTGCAACTCTTGCGGAAGATCAGGCTATTCCGGGAAAGGAGGCATTCCTCTAGGGGGAGAGGCGTTTCTGTCAAAATGGTTGAGTCTATCCTCACTATGGTCAGTTTGGGAGATTAGGGGAAGGTCAGCCGCAAGAAGCATGGCTACCCTCTATTTTTCCCATGTCCATCAATGCCCACTAACCAGGGAGTGACTACGCTTTCAGTGCGAAATTGAATTCATCATCGGGGAGACCGCTGCTGGTCGGCTTCCACTGATCACCCATCAAACAGTTGTCCAAAAGAGGTGCCGGAATTGCATGACACCCTGACATGATGCAACTGGAACCAGAAGGAAGACAGTCAACTAAAACTAAACATAAAACAAACAACGCCAACGCTAGAACTACCTCATAATCACAACCTGGTATTAAAGAGATCTACCGAACAAATGTGCAGAATCAAAAATGCGGCCGTGCCTGTTTGTGGCTCGGACTGTCCCCTACCAGTACTTACCAGCCTTCGGTTTTGATTGTGGCTCAGCTGAACAACTTGAATCTGGGTGAAATATAATATTTCACCAGCCTGAAATAATGTGGTTTGGGGGGCCATTCCCCACATAAACCACCGTGAGGTCGTGTGAGGTCGATATAATTCACCCAGTTGAATCATCGAAGCGCAAACACGGAAGACCAAGGTCCGCTCCTGCATCAGGTTCTCGTGCTGCAAATGCCGCAGAATCCGCAGCTCCCGCAGCGTGCGCTGGCGGAAGCGGGCCGATTTGGGAGAAAGCTGCTGGGGCGAGCTGTATCCTCCCCATTTTGGGATCCTCCTTGGAAGTCAGCCAGACCTGGACTTCCTTCAAGGGGAAGTGAAGGATATCCCAAGGGCAAAATAATCATTAAGAAAGCATAACCCCCCCCCTCCCTTACCCCCCCCCCTTGAGACATGCTATAGCAATGCTATTGGAGTGTTATAACACTGTTAAAGTATTTGGCTCCCAAAGGGTTCCCCACTGACCGGCGCGACAAGTGGAAAATGACACCCACCACGCTCCCCCGCTCGTCCCATTCCCACCCCTTCCTTCCCAGTCCCCTGCCCTTCCCGTCCGCTCCCCCGAAGCTTCAGAAGTCCGTAAGTCTTCCGCAAGGCTTCCGGAAGCTTTCCGGAAGCCTTGCGGAAGCTTCGGGGAAAAGGGGGGGAGGGAGGGACCACCCTTGTTTCAATCTCCCCCCCCTTTTTCCCGAAGCTTCCCTAAGGCTTCCGGAAGCTTCCGCAAGGCTTCCGGAAGCTTCCCCAAGGCTTCGGGAAGCTTCCCACCTATTTGGCCCAAAGCAGGGGGGGTAAAGGGGGGGGGGGTTGCGGCTTCTTAAAATCAACAGGCGAAATAATGGATCAAACTGATTGGATCTCTTTAAAGAAGGTAAAGATAATTTCAAAGGCCGACTGGAAGCCAGGCTTGCCCTCACTTTGCTACATCGCTTTCTGTCTGAGGTATGCTACCTTTCGCAAATCACGGTGAAGAGCACTAACCTTGGATTCTGTGTGAGACCCCTCCTACCTGATCGCAACTAACTTGACGAATAGTTTTCCCAGTCGTCCTCTGCCTGAGTTAGAAACAACATGTCGCAAGCTTGAATCAAAGGGCCATAAGCAAGTTGCACTTTCGTCACAAAGCTCTTTAGCCCCCAATCTGTGAGCTCGTCATTCATTGCTCATATCCTGTGCAAATCCATGTCTCCTGACCACCGCCAAGGTGGGGCTTCGTTGTTTTGTTGGCATTTTGCGCACGCCACAAAAACATATTCGCGGCTTTGTGCCTTGGGTTCCCTTGAAGCCAGCTCAAACAGGGGCAACCCAAGGCTCATGGCTTCACCCTACGAGCCAACTGAAAAAGACCATGCAGCGATTATCCAACGGAAAATTATGCCAGAACCCTACGTGGGTCACTGTAGTCACTGGTGGGAACCATGATTTCGCACCACAGTGATTACGCACTACAGTGATTACCCACTTGGTTGCTAAGTTGAGAAATGCTTGGGCACTCATTGGATGACTTGCATGGATTCTAGAACACAGCTTCCTTTCGGATGCTGCACACATTGTCCATTGTCCTTTGCAAGTGATCGGAACCCCTGACAAGGCACAATCCCAGAAAGACAGCTGCCTTGGCAATGGTGATGTGCTCAAAAACCCCCTCGATCTTTTTGAGAGCGACTTTCTCTTCCAGCTCCTCGCTGGCCAAATGCATTTCGGCCAACCCAAACTGGCGCTGCGAGTTGTGTCCCTGGCTATTCTCAATAGGAATGATACAAGCCACACAAAAAGAAACCTGAGCAAAAAACCAGAGGAATCCTAATGAAAGTTGCCAAAAGATCCTCAAGCCTTGATGAAATGCTGGCGGGAGCTTTCTTGCCTACCAAGTTCTCCCCTGCAAACTAACATGGAACCTACTCTGACATGGATATGACGGAAATCACAGCTTATAATAACATTACTAAGCTACTACTAAGCCCTAAACATCGTGTGGCTGAGTAAGAAGCTGTGCCCAAACAGCCCAAAAGAGGTCCTTTCAAAAGGAGAGTCCTCTTCACGTGACATCACGTGAGGGTGTTTAAGGTATGACAATATGCAGGAAAATTAAACCCAGGTGTATTGACCGCATTGGGAGATCATCGTAGCCCTCGAAACTCGAGAAAGACCCCCCACGATTCTGAAACCGGTCAAAAGGTTTCCTGGTCGTACGCGTCAACAAATGGGAAGATCCTCCAAAAATTGGTTTGCCTGCTGTTTTCGTTTGAACCAACGCGAGACTCGGGCATCCTCAAAAACACCCACAACCCCATGGAGCTGTCCTCCAATTGGGACATCCCCTTTTGGATAGTGATTTAAGAGGAAACCGATGCTGTGAGAGTAGGGGATTCGCAACAAGCCCAAGCAAAAATGTCACTCATGTTCTCCGTATCCTGACATTTGACTTTGGGCAGTCTGAATCACTTCCTGTACTGATTGCCTGTACACAACAAGAGCCGCGGCACGCCCTGCGCGCAAAAAGAAGATCATGCAGGACTTGTGGATGATATTGGTCTAGCTAGTTGCCTAGCAGTCAGACCCACGAGCATTTCAATGAGGAAATTCTCACAATCCCTTAGAGCTAGAATCCTGATTGCGCATGACGTTGAAGCAAATCTTGCGAGCTTCCTGATTTCTAGCAGGCGGCTTTTTCATGCTTTTTCTGTCGCACGAAATTTGACATGGAAGAGACTTGCTATGCCCAGCAAAGAGACGAAAACACTGGAGGAGCCTACCTAAGTGCAACAGGCAGATCCAGGTGATAGCTCACTTCTTGCGATGGGCATTCGCAGTCTGCACGGCTATCAAACGTCCCCGTGCGCGCTCATATCTCGGTGCCGCCATCACTTCCAGACCTTCGTACTTGCATCCAGAGCCCAACTGGAAGGCCTCATGGGGAGCCCTGCTCTGCCTAAGGGCAAGGCCTGCAACCAAGGGGACGGATGGTTAATACCCTCCCCAAGGACAATCTGGTTGCCCAAACTGAGGCCGTTCTTCGAGAGGGAGTTTTGGGCCCCGGTGAAGGATCTAGATGTCTTGATTGCGCTTCTCAGTCAGAACGGCTTGTGTCACCCTTGGTGGTGAATGCGTGTATACAAACTATGCACAGCTTAGGCTTTGATGAGGACTCAGGCACAGAGACACAAAGACACGTAGACACGCAGAGACGCAGAGATGCGGAGACGTATATATATATATATACATACACATATCCATATACACACATACACACATACTCATATAGTTAAGTTATAAATACACACATACACATACACTTACACTTGCACTCACACTTATACATACACATACACACGCACGCAGCACACACACACACATACGCGCGTGCTTGCACGCTCGACAACTGGAAGTAAGCTCGTTGTTGCTATGTAGGCAGGTCAATTCGGTCCTTCTTGCCCTGGGCTCCTTGGATAAAACAGTAAGCCGCTTAAGCCCAGGTGATGTGCCCAACGGCCCCGGAACCACCTGCTAACCGAATCTCCTTTTGAACCCTCCCAAGCTGCCGAATCCAAACCAGCCCTTAGCGCCCTGGGCCTATCGACGCCAAAGTCCCGGGACTCCAGTGAGAACGGTCCGCGGGAGATGGACCGATCGCCCAAAGCCCCAACAATCAGCTGGCCGATTGGTGGTTTGGATTGGTTTGGGGCGGATTCCCATTTATCCTCTACAAGAACCAGGGGTTCAAATCCCGAAACCACTCCCAACCACCAACTGGCTATTTGAAACTATCCGAGTGGAGAAAAAAACATAGGCAACCCCGCGCTGCGGATCTCAGCAGAGCCGTCCGCATTGATGACACACTGGGAGTGCATCTTGACCTGGCGAGATCTGCACTCCGACGGGTGGATTCAGAACAGAAAGTGCCCTGCCCACAACCTGCCAACTTAAGGCCTTTCGACCCAGCTGTGGATAAGTACAACAACAGCCTCGCCCAAATCCGGGGAAAGTCAGCATCCCCCGCAGTCGCCAACACCGAAAACCTTTCTACCAATGGGTCTTGATTCGGGGAAATGCTCCAAAACCGGGGCCCCAGTCCCACACATGCGACTGTAGGCCGTACGAGGCAATATATGTCTCTTTCTTTATTGAGGTTACCTGTTTGTAATTTCAAATGGAAACTCACAGGCTTAAACCACCAATTTGGAGGGGTCCCTTAAAAACCAGACACTCCCACATAAAGAACTTGTCTCCGACCTTCTTGACCAAAGCAACCGAGGGTTGCGGGTGTGGATCCAATGCTTTCAGCCACTATGGCTTAAACTGGGCGGGCCGACTCCTTTCCATCCAGGCTGCATCCACTCCTGGCAATCTGCGTGCGCACGGGTTTGTCTTCAAGCGAATACCCCAACATGGTGGGCCCCTTGGTTTCACTACCCTCTCAAAAAGGCATGCCCGCACGGTCTACCAGACATGTTCCGCTGAACTCCTCGCATTCTTGACCATCCCCAGAAAGCCCGAGTGACCGTTTGATAGGAAGTGGTTGGTTTTGATAGGAAAGAAAGGAATCCCGCCCTTTTGGAGGGTCCACAACCAAAAAAAAAGACGAGCCACGCAGATGCTCTTTGAATCTTCGCACAAACCTGCAGCTTCTGGAATTGCACCACCTACTAAGAAAGGGGATCTTCAAGCATCTCCATGCGTTGACGCTCACTTTGCCTGCAGAGCTCACCACAAAAAAAAGGCAAATGCGGGCTTTGCAGCGATCGCAAACATCGGTAAGCACGTATAACAAAGCGGTTGCGCACCAAGTGCCCGAATTCTCGGATGAGGTCAAGAGAAACATCGAGTCAACTGCAGCTGTTTAGAAGCTCGCAACCTTTGTCACCAGTGCCTCAAGAAAATATATTCTTTATTTGGCCGTGTGACTCAAAAGGGGGACCTCAGCATAATGAGGAGGTAGTAAACACAGGGCTCAACTATGATTCCTGATTCCCTGGCTTCTGGGGGAGAACAAACATGTTGGGTTTGGTTTTGTCCCTCTAACGCATCATGTACCCATGTGCGGACCTGGGAAAAGGTTTGGTTTGAGTTTGTCTGGAACCTTCCTTCCGTTCTTTCGGGAGGGACAGGTTTTCGCCGATACAATTTCTCCGCAGACCCGATCGAAGAGGGAAGACCCGATATTTCCCGGCCTCGTCCACTGAACACTGAGCAAACCAACACAAAGTAGACGCAAAGAACCCAACGCAACAGACCGACGAATCAGCCAAACCAACGAACAACCTATCAGTCAAAGCCAACAAAACGCACACTGAGAAAAGGGAACCCAATGTAAAACCAAGCAAGAGACCAAACATCTGCAAAGTCTGCAATAATCCCAAACCTGGAATAAGGGACTCCCAAACAGAGGGCCTACATCATGGGCTTTCCCTCGGTTTCCTTCCTGTAATCAGGGAGGTCGATAAACATAATCAGGCAAAGATGTGGCCTCGGCCTTCGATCTGGGCTTCCGGCCCAGCTCTTCCAGTCGTCCCAGTCGATCTTCATAGCATCCTCCCAGATTTGGGCCGCCAGACCGTGAAAGAGATGCATATGGCTGTGGGTCAAAGCCCAGGAAACCCCTGGTGAACATCAAAACAGGTGCTACATGGGTGTTCATCCGCCCCAAAATGGAGGCATAGGTTATGACCCATGGCAATTTAAGCGAACCAAAAGGAAAGACAACGGAATATTGTGGTAAACCATGCTGCTCATGGGACAAACCCAGTTGCAAACTCCTCCCAACATAGTGGGAAATAATCTCACAAGTCTGATATCAACGTGGACCATTAGGACTACTTTGTCACTTTTAAAGGGGTGTCCCTTGCTACTGTGGATGGCCGAAATGATGCAGGCTTGCATGTGAAACAACTACTTGTTGGTATTTGCAAGAGAATCCTCCTTCCAGGGTTTCTTAGGCGGTGCGAAATGGATTTTCTCCATCCACAGTATCACAGAAAGGGCCTATTTCCCATGCAGATTCTCTCCCTTCGATCCTGCAGATTGGGCAGCTGCCTTGGCTGCATCCTGGGTGGCAGGTCCTGAAGGCTCGGCGACACGTGGAAAAAGCGACCGTCTCAAAAGACTTGCTGCGTGGAAAGCCTTTCCAATTTGCCCCAAAAATTCGGAGACCCCGAAAAAATTGCTCCAAAAATTCGGAGACCCCGAAAAGTGCGGGACTTTCCAAAACTGCGTCCGGGTTAGTATCTCTCACTCTCCGAATGTGGACACCAAAGCAGGGGCCATGTTTGGAGATGTATTTTTTGGCCTGCATGCCATTCCATGCCGATGTTGCTGGGGACTTTTGGTATGGTTGGATTCATTTCAGGTTTCCGATTCAACCAGCCCTCATCTTCAGGAGAGCTACACATCAGCATCCTTGTTTGCGGGGTAGTTTAAAGAGAAACTACAAGGAAACGAATCATGGGGGGGGGGGGTTATCTTCTGCGAAAACCGATTTCTTTCATAAAGGCGCAGCAAGCCTTCAGCTCCGGTTATTTGGCAAGTGTAAGTCACGGTGGCAACATCCCATGAAAGGGCAAATAACACATGATTAGGGACTCCAACTGAAGGCGGCAAGCAATGACACCCATGGTTTCAAAGACGGCCCCTGTTTTTCAGAGGCCAATGGATTCAAAAGTCGATCAATTTACTGGCGGTTTCCACTGAAACTGCCACCTTTGGGAGGCTCCAAAAAGGGTTTTCGACAAGCTCTGACAAACCCGAGCCGAACCGTTCGCCTTGGTCGGCACATTGTAGAACTCCTGATGCAGCTTGTCCTGCCAAATTCAGGTCTTTGCTGCTTTGCCGCTGTGCCGTTCGTTTAGCCAAGCAAAAAGACGATTCTGCATCTCTTGGGAAATTCCCAACAATCCGACTGTAGTACCAACATTTGGGTAATTGCGAGTATGTATCTCGCATACGTGGATTGCGTGGGATTCAACCCTCTGCATTTTGCTTGATCGCACTGTGTAGGGATTCAGACGAAAACCTAAGAAACAAAAATGCGGCCACAGGAAACAACTAGCGCGATCTGGATATTATGAATCACAGCCTAGCCATTGCCTAAGCTCGGTGTTGATGAAGCAACGTCAGAGAAGCGAACTGACAGTCTGGAGCGCTGGACGGCTAGGGCACAGATTGCGTCTGAAGGCCTGCAACTCGCAGGATGCCTAGTCACTTGCCAAAAAGAGGTGAACATGACTTGAAGTCAAATTAAAGGCTGATTTCCTGAGTGAAGTGGCAAAAACAAGTCCAAACTGCGTGTTTTCCCTCAACATGATCTTTCCAAAACGTACAAAGTCCAGCAAAAAAGGGAAGTGAGGGGCAGACCAAAAGGTCAAAGGGTCAGCTGCGACAAAAACAAAAAACAGACAAAAACAAAACCACCTATCTCGACGAGCTATTGGCACTGGATTCTAGCCAAGCGCTGGCAGGGGCTAGTCCGACTTTTCTCCAAACGATTGGCGCTTGTTCTTGGTGTGGACATCCTTCTCATCTTCCAAAAAGGGTGAGAGGTGGAAGTCAACCGAGGGGCAAAATAAAACAAGGTATGTTTCCAAAAAACGGTTAAAAGGTGGAAGTCAACATGGAATGTTTTTTTGTTTAGTTCAGCCTTTCGGACCACCTACACAGAAACAACCATTGGCCACGTAGCCAAGAGACTTGCATCGCGAATATTCGCACCCAATGCGTAAGAAGGATCCCTGGACATGACGAAGTTACCCCTAGACTTGTAAAGACCCTGGGTTCAAGACATTAAAACAATGGTTGCGTTCATGTAACCTCCATTGTTTACCGTGGATAGGCATCTTTAAATTGGGTCCCGCGTCCCAAGACCATTATTTTAATGGACATCTATTGAAATCTAGGGTAACGTTATGCCAGCGTGTGCCTTGTTGACGGTCCCTTTGCTCTGTGCTTTTAAGGACAAGCAAAAAATGCGAGCTTCTTTTATTTGGGGGGAAAAAACGGGGCTCCCTAAGAAAAAACGCCACACCCACGGCATTTTATTGGGGAAAAAAAGGGGCTCCCTAAGAAAAAACGCCACACCCACGGGATTTCATTGGGGGGAGGGGGCTCCCTAAACAAAACCCGCCACACCCACGGGATGCGTTTTTTCTCTTTTCCCTCGCGGAAGCTCCGAGCGGCGGATTCTTCCGAGAGCTCGGGGGCTCCTCGATGATGGACCGCACCACCGCGAAGTCCTCCGACATGGCGAGAGATGTCGACCTGGCGAAAGCGAGATCGGCGATGCGAGCGGTTGAAACAGGAAAACCAGAGTCCTCCATTTGCTTAAGCCCGTTTTTTTTTTTTTTTAGTATATCCAATAGTAATATAAAAAAATATAAAAGTGCATCAGTATAGCCAATAGTAATATAGATTCCCCTTAAAGCCAACAGGGGAAAATGAAAATAGTTCATCGCAAAAGACGTCCCTGGAGGCCCCAAAGCGCCTGTTGAAAAATCATGGTTCGCTTTTTTGGCTCCTGCAGGGCCTCACACGCACGTATCCTTGCTCTGAAGAGGCAAGCAAACATCTCGATCTGCAGAATGACCTGTGTAAACAACAATCGATTTGGTTCTGTTTCAAGGTGGATCTTGTTTGAACATGCGCAACCTTCCGCCAAACCAGCAGAACTGGGGCATTGCCCCGCTCTAACTTTGGTTTCCTAGCCTCCTAAGTCATGGGAAAACATGGCACCAAGAAAACGGCAAGTGCATGGTCAAAGTTCATCTGGGCAAACACAGACAATCCACGCAATATGTACCAACATTCGACCCACTTGGGTGGTAAATGAGTACATATCCGGCATACATCAACCGAGCCAAAGGGTGTCAAATGGATCTATATTATTTCTGGGGGTACCTGTTGTTGTTGTTGTTGTTGTTGTTGTTGTTGTTGTTGTTGTTGTTGTTGTTGTTGTTGTTGTTGTTGTTGTTGTTGTTGTTGTTGTTGTTGTTGTTGCCTTTTTCTTTGAGGCAGGTGGGGGGTTGTAAAGGGAAACCACAAGGAAAGCCACCATTTTCGGGGCTTGCCCAAATGGCTCGCAGCATCTCTGAGAGCCCCGGCGAATGCCCTCACGTCAGATGGTACGCGTGGCAATGCTGGAGGCCAAAAGAGCGGCGCGAAAAGCAGGCATTGACAGCAAGGTCCTTCCTACGGTCAAGTGCGCCTTAATTGGCCGAAACCTCAATCCTATGTTGGAGGACCTTTTGTGGCACCCTTGGGGTGCCACGATTGGGGTGCCCTCGGACGTAACTGCTTGCTACCGGTCCAAACAACTCAGCGTAGCTACCCAAGGCAATAGGCAAGGACCCCATGTCCTCCCCGTCCAAAGCATTGCATAGAGTCTTCCAAAGGCAAAAGGGCATCATCTAACGATTTCGTTCTGCTTCTATTCCAAACATCGCGCACAAACTCCTCGCCTGACCAGTGACCGTCGCAAAAATTGGGAGTCTGATTGTTGGCTGATCATTCGCGGGGAAGCAGCCAAAATCGGAAAAATGGATGGAACAGAGAAGTGCAACTGGATTTGGTGGGAAAAGGGAGTTTAGGCGGTGCCACTGGACAGCTCTTCGTTTTTTCTGGCTTTGCCTCATTTTCTCGTTAAGTAGGTAAATGGTCATCCCCTGCTTGTTTGCTCGTCCCCAAACACCAGCCAGTTGTTCTTGTGCTTTTTCTTTCTTCGGGGGGGCTCCCAAGTTCCCATTAACCATCCCCTATGGTTTCCTTGAAGTATCCTTCCCTACCCATCGCACCACCCTAAGGCTCCCGGTCCTTTTTGGGCCCTCAAAATGGGTTGTTTTCAAGGGCCCCTGAGGAATTGGTCCGGGGCCCTGCATTGGAGGGGTCATGAGCCTTTTGGCAGCAAGTTTTTTGGGATTTTGGGGGCCCTCCCGGGTTTCCCCGGGATTGCTCACTCAAGAGATCCCAACTCCTGATCCTCCGCTGAACACACAATGCCATAGGCGCCATGGCCTTGGCACAGTCGACTCTGACCCGGAGACCCTGCTGGACCCCCCTGCGCCCTGAAGAACCCCCGCAAAGCACTCTTTCTGACCCCGGGCATCCCCCCTCAGCAAAAAAACACTGACGTGTTCAGGTCCCGCATAAAAAAAAACAAAAACAATAAGTAAAAAACCACCCCCCTGCAACAAGCAAAAGCTTGGCCCGCAACATGCACATGTGTTTTCGGGCCCCAGCAAACAAAAACCGCTCGGCTCATGGGGAACCCCCGGCTGGGAGTCTGGCTCATGGGCTCATCGATCTGGTACCTCTTGGGAACCTGCGGCGCAGTTCCTCCGATTTGTCGCTGAGGAATGTTCAAGACATGAAAGCCAAGATAAGCTCAAGGAGACGTGATTATTTTTTTAAACCAAAGGGGGGTGCAGAGGGGTGGTGTTGTTGGTTGTTCATGGTTTTCAGGCAAATTGGAGAGGGGTCCGCAGTGGATTCAGCTTTTTTTTGCATCCTGCCTCGAAAGTGGAGCCCTGCACAGTGAAGGAGGCCGTCTCCAAGTTCAGGCTGTCGACCGGCATCTCCTGAAACGAACCCAACACCCTTTCCGGGGTGACTTGGCTTTGCCAAGATTTGTCTGGAGCTTCACATGCGACGTCATCTCCTGCAACGAAAGGCAAGATGTGGTGCAATGGGGTGACTATGGTGGTTGAAACAAAGGAACCTGGTTGAATATCGGCTTGTCGGGTTGGTTCAGACTGGACCCATCCTCAGGGCAAAACCTCGGCAGGTCAAGTAAGGGCAATTGCATGACTGGTTTGCTTTGTAGCTGAGATGAAATAATCCGTTGTTTAGAGACGAGCTTCGGACAACACGGTTCAGTCAGCGCGATATGCAAGCGCAGGAAGGAAGACGTGTCTTGCTGCATATCATGCATTCAGGCAACGCCAAGCCTTGAGATAAACATCACTGTGCCGAGTAGCAAACTCCAGCAATTCTAACGTACACTCATGCTATATATCTTGAAAGAAGCATCGCTGCTTGGTGTGTGTGTGTGTGTGTTTTTTGTTTTATGCGTTCTATTGGAAACAACCCAAAAATCGCCAATGCTGGAAAGAAGACTCGCGCATGTCTTCCCTTGAACACAACCAAGTACCCTCCAAAACAGTCAGTTATCAGAGGAGGCAACCCACAAGGCAACCCACACCTTCCCTAGCCCCTCCCTCTTTTGACAAGGCCTTGGGTCTTCTTTGGGGAAGGGGGCGTTGGATCTAAGTTGCTGCAACGCCCAACCCCCGGAGGCTCCTTGAGGGGTCGCGGATAAGATCAGTGATCAGATTGGACTCAGGCGCAAGGCGACTGAGACGACCGAGGTAAAGCCATGTTTGGTTCACAAACTTGGCCCGGGCCCCGGCTTCAGCCTTCACCTCCAGCACTTTAGCTTTTTTCTGACTCCTTGAAGTGAGTCTCAACTCAAAGGTCTGGAGATGGGTCTATGTTGGGGCCCGGACCCCCAACACGGGTCGGTTTTTTGTCATAACCTGCCGTTTTGAGTTGCTCTAACTTTGCAAACCAAGCCAAGGGAGCAACCCCCCAACCATACATCCGTGTTACCTTTCTGTGTTTGGCACCGGTATTAAAACGGTGTACCCAGAACCATGTAAAGAATTAAGAAGGCGGATTCCCGCAGCTATTTATGATTGGGATTGTCCCTTACTCACCTTCCTCTACCCGGGCAGAACCTTATTTCTCTGTTTGGCAGAACCTTATTTCGAGATCCTCCCGAAACCCAACCCTCGACGAGACATCCCTTGCGCATAAGGAGATGGACTTAGGCTCCAAAGGGAAACCAAATTGAACCCGAAGCCCATTTCTCACTTGAGTGCATTGGCCAAACATGTCCAAACTTGTTGCTTGCCACTTCAATGGTCTTCCCAAATATTTCGAGTCTAGGGGTATTCTTCAAATAATGATATGTATGTGTATATATGGTTCCGGTCGGCGTGCGGCCACTCCCCCCCAATGGTTTCCCCCCCCGCTTGGGGAGGGGGGGGGGGTGGCCGCTCGCCGACTAGGGTACGACTCTCGAAGCCTTGGCCCTAAGCTGATCCACCAGCGGGCCCACCAGGGGGGGGGGGGGAGAGACCTTTTGCAAGATGACCATAACCTGCAAAACCAGCTATTTAAGGCTACCATGACCATGGCGGGGGGGGGGGGGGGTTGCCAGACCTCCACCATATGTGTATACATATATATATATATATATGTATGGGTGTGCTTTTTGACGGTATGAGTTTAAAACAACTCAAGGGAAAAGGAGAACCACCATTTAGGTGGTCCCTAAAAAACACACACACACACACACACCAAACAATATGTTTCGTGGTTGCCTTTGAACCAACCTGAAGAACGGCACACTCAACAAAAGACACTCGCGCATATGTTTGTCAGACGGGCCTGGAGCTCTCAGAGTGGCTCAACGCATGGAGGTTCAGCCTCAAGTGCGCGGGTCAGTGCACGTGCCATTGGGACTGACCCCCAAAAGACTTCGCCAAGAGGAGTCAGGCAAATGGATGGTCTTTCAGCCGCAAATGGATGGTCTTTCAGCCATATTCCATATTTTCAGGGGAAAGTAGTTCTTGCTGTCTTCTCTGATTTCAAGCAAGGGACACATGTCCTCTGGTCAAAACTAACAACACTCCCTGTGCACGGCATGGTCATGGTTCCCTTACTAACCCCTTATGGTCGTATGATTTCCCTAAAAGGCCCATGACCAACCCCAGCAAGTGTAACCAAGCGAGAAGGTCTTTGATCATACCACTGATCGAGGTCTCCAGTTGATTGTATGAAGAGAGACCAGACCGTCTCAAACCTGCCAACAGGTGGCACCGGCTTGGCAGCCAAGGCCAAAGCTTGATCCTTCCAGGGAGTATCAATAGACCACCGAAAAAGAGAAGTCCGCCTGGACCCATAGGTGACGGTTGGTAAATGAGCATAAACCCCATCAAAACCAGTAGAACCCGTCGATTTCTATCCAAACTAACCGATCAAAAGGACAACCGAAATCTAGTGTGTGTAAGCTTTAGACCGGTTTCAGAAAGACTTGAGACTCGCCACCTCTGTGCCATCCTCTTTTCTTACCCTCACACGAACTTCCAGCAAGACATCTTAGGCAAGGACTCGTCACTGCGCCTGTGGGGAGAAGGTGCCATTGAGAGAAATGGTGTAATCCTGAAGCCCTCTCAAACAGGGCTCCCCATACCTCGCATGAACCATCACCCACTGAAAGGTTTCAAGATGGATTCTATCATTGATGCGGTTCGAAGGCATACTGCCTGATGCGAAATCCGTGGCACTTCTTTGAAAAGGATTGCAGCATCCCCATCCTTTGAGTATTGGAAAAGAGGGGCAGCTACTTTGAACTGGGCTCTTCTGTGTGCACGTGGCCATGTGCGATCCCATATGCCACAGATCGGTCAAATCGGGAAAACCCCTCTGTGTCCTTGTGGTTCTTGAAGTGAGGTGGCCATTCAACCCTGCCCCCGCACTCGGAAGTCCTGCATGGCTGTGGCTAAATCATGGTCAACTGGATAGGTTTCGACGAGAGACTACAGAAGTAACATAGATGCCTCCGATCGGAAAAAAAAAGGGGAGCATGAAGCAAGTCGGGATTGTGCTCAAAAAGTGCCACTGATTCTGCACACAAAGTTCTGAATGACACTTTGTTAAACAGCTCTACCCGAAATCAAACAGGGCATCTTGATCTGCCCCTATCCAAATATATCATATTAGCTGATTGCGGTACATTGTAGTGAATCTTCAAATTGTGGGTCCAAAAATATGAAACAAAAATGGCACCTGGGTAAATGGAACCAAAGACTAAAACCGGCGCAACCCTGGCTCTTTAATTTTGAGCCACGCCCAAATGCAAATTGAGTTCAACGGAGAGATCGCAAAAACCTCGAGCTCCATGCCGGTTCAAGGCTCTTGTCTTGTAGCTGTGTGGCCCTTGTGCGGTGAAGCGGTTTGTCAGCTGACATGGAGTGCACATGCCCTGTGGAACATGAAACACGTTCGTTTTTGCAAAACTTTGTCCGGGCTTGGGTGACCCTAAATGAGTTCTAGCAAGTGGGTTGTGGGATGCTACACACTGTCCTTTGGTGCAAACAATCGAGCCCATTCATAAGAACCCGTCAAACGTGTCCCCCGGGAGCTTCATTCAGATTCCAGCTGCCTCGGGTGAACATTTGAAGCTCTCTAGTTCAATCAGGGTTGGTCGACAAGCATGCTCAAACAACCGGGTCATGTTGAAAGTGCTCAAACAACCAAGTCATGTCGAATGTCATGGCCCCCTTTCGTGGGAAAGTGTCTGTTTTGGGAGGGTCAAACGCCTTGCGACTGGCGAACACGGCGCCTTGGGCCGCAGTGTATCAAGTCTTTCCACTGGAGCCGCAAATGGCCGCAAGGCTCGTTTCGTCGCTTTGGTCAGGGGCAGAAAGGCGACTTTCCTAGGCCTACTGGGGGCTAATGGACTTCCTTTTGAGTGCCTTTGGCGCCCCCCCCCCCCCCCGGTCAACCTGTCAAAGCCATTGCTCAGGTCGAAGCTACTCAGTAAGGCCGCGTTTCCCAGTGGCAGCTGGGCGGGGCCCATGTCAAATGCATGTCGACCATTGATATTTGAGCTCGGGTGATCAAACGTAGGCATCTACTTCAAACCCACAAAGACCACAAGGATGTCTTGCCTCGCCCATCGCAACCTGCCCCGTTGGATTGTGGCACGGAATACACCAAAGATCCCGAAACACGAGCTGGGTGTTCCCCTCATGATGTTCTCATGGGACCTGCCCAAAAACGGTGAATCGAAATACTGAAGGTGAATCAACCACATCCAACCACGCATCCTGTCCTGGGAAAGTACAATTCCTGTGATGCCAAATTTGGTCATTCCCATGACTTCTCACTTCACCGGGGTTCCCTTGGTATCAGAGAAACTGGTCCCAAGACCATCCCTAGGGTTAAACCCGCCTGAAAGAATGGTTCTCCCCACGGCTTCCCATCGCGGCCATTGAAACCATCCGCGTGAATTATTTTGCGTACTGAAGCGCAAAGTTCTCAGCGCTCAGCACCTGGTAAACCGAGAGCCCTTCGGCTTGTCCCTGTCATAGGTGACCTTCTGCCCCGGTAAATGGAAGACATAAAACCAACCTAAACCACTGGAACCCATCTATTCCTGACCAAACTACGTAACATGAGACGGAACCACAGATGTGCTGTGCGGATTCTGCCTCAGCCTGCGACAAAAAATATGTTTCATATCCGTAGTTGCACCCCAACACTGCAACATATGTCAAGAGAGATCCTCACATAGCCTTCAAGGGCTTGAGCACAAAGCCCGCACGTCCCCCAATTGCCGATGGCTCTCATATATAAAACTGCAATATATATATATATATATATATATACACGTCTGTCTGTCTGTCTGCCTGTCTGCCTGTATGTAGGTAGGTAGGTATGTATGTATGGATGGATGTGTGTATGTACGAACTATACCTAGCCGTATATCATCGGTGTGTTGGCTTCTGGTTTGGCGGTACACTCTAGCAATACAACCTTGGGGTATCCAATAGGCCTGGAAGGTATGGGTTTCGGAGCTTTGTGGTTTAAAGGGAACCGACAGGAAAACCGTTCGGCCGTTTTGGGGAGTGCCCCTTAACAAACAGCCCCATTCGAACATCCACAGACTGCGTACACCCAAGACGTTAGGGCACCGACTTGATTACTCGAAGTTGACCAATGGTCTGCCTGGGGGTTGGTCATCCTCGGAAAAGGTTTGAGACTTGAGCTTGAGACATCAGTCTTGCCAGGGTTCCTGCAAGGGTCCGGGTCAAACAGGCAACAGACTGGCAGTGGCAACTCGAGAACTCCTCAGGACCCAAAGGAAATCTTCCTTGGCGCCGTTGCAAAACCACTCGAAAAGACCCGCAAGACAAATCCTCTTCCAAGCTCATCACGTAGAGAACTCTGCGACTTGGGCGGCCTTCAAGCCTTAGGAAATTGACGTTGGAAGGGGAGCAAAAATCTAAATTTTAGCAGTTAAGTGGGGGTTTCCCACTAAACCACAATCAGCAAAAGTTTAAAATGATCCCAACAACAACCAGGAAATGGGAAGGTCGTGGCCTCGCTTCGACCTTCAGAGGCGGCAATGGCTCCCCTGGCTCCCCAATCAGACATATGAATGCCCGACTATGTCTAACAATATGACTTGGAGACCGGTCAAAATCGGCCTACCCAAACCCGTACCCTGCAAAACCGACAGGAATCGGCGAAACATGAAGATACTCTGCCATTCCGACCCAATGCCTGGATGTCCGTATTGTCGGCACGTGAGGATGGCGCCAAAACCAGAGGCCCCATCCACAGAGGGCATGCCTCCTGGCGGATCACTCCGGATTTCCCATCGAAGCATCTTCTAACTCAAAAAGGGGAATCAACTCAAAGGCCTGAAGACTTCCCCTTAATAAAAACTGCGAGCAACCTGCAGTTCTCGGTCTCAGATGCGGATAGCCGAAACTCGCGGTCAAATTCCAGACGTGTCTCAAAATAAGGATGGTTTTAACAGGAAGTCAAGTTGGAAAAAAAAAAAAAACGAAGACACGATAGCATCTGAATGCAGCCTGAATCATGGGACATCAACCGAATCCAAGGCGTTTTCAACGCTCACAACCAACCGGTGGCCGTTGGCGGTCGATCCGTCGATCCGTCGATCCTGTTTCATCAGTCTGCCTCTTGGGGACGCCTTGGTGGACATGGAATGGATGTCCTCTCCGAACTTGTGGAGGCCATGCCAATCAAAACCGCCATTCACCAGCAGCCCCCTTATACAGGTTGTTGGCCCTATGGTTGTGGAGCACAATCTTTTCTGTGATACCAACCTGAGCCATCCGAATCAAAAGGGGTTCCATTGATATCACAGACAGTGGCCGTAATCATCGAAATCGCCATTCACCAATCGGACATCCCCCCGAGCTTCCTTGCTGCGTGGCCCTTTCTGTGAGTCGTTCCCATGACTACTGTACCACGTTCAAGCGAATTCCCTCGGTATAACAAAAAGTGGTCATACAACAACATATTCCACAACCCTGAGGTTAAGTGACTTTGCTCAAAGCGGCTAACATGACACGCAGGCGTGACTAGCTGCCAACTGCGGCCGTGTTGTTTTAACGATGAACACGGTACTAGTACCAGACATTTCCAGAGGCCCATTAGGCTTGGCCAACAAACACATGGCCTGCTTCTCCGACTTTCAGCTTGTAAGGGGAGGCGCGAAAGCTGTCTTGAACCGTCGGCCTGTCTTTACTGCGTGCCACCATGTTTAGCGACCCATTGTGTGAATACAGCCCTTTGCAGATGCACCCTTTGGTCCAGCGGCTATGAAACATAAGAGGATTCGCCCCTGTTGATTGCCTCACTTCCTAAGTGGATGGCCCAACAAAAATCCAAACCTTTTTGCAACTTGCCAAACAGTTTAAAGTTGATGAACGTTTGCCACTCGAATGCTCTTCCAAAAAGTGAGCTGCCGTTTTTCGTGGGGGTCTCTTGTTTTTTTTTCCCCCCGCAGTTTCCAAGGGGAACCAATGCGAAGATGCCGCGAGGCAAGCGCGGAAAAAAGAGAGTTGCGAGTTTCGAGCGAGTCCTTGCAGGGCTGAGGAGCAAAGGCCTGGAGATCCGGGAAGTTTCTACTTGGCGTGTCGCTTTTCAGCACCTCCAGTTGCTCCTTTGTGTTCACCCCCATGAAAAACAATGTCCAGTAGTGAAACTGTGATTCCCTTTAAAACCAACACAAACAAACAATATGTCCAGAAGTGGTAGATTCCCAGTGAAACCAACAGGTGAAACTAAAAAATATCCTCAAGCAAATGGCAGGCAAAGGAAACCCCAGTGCAAACCTCCAAGATACGCATTACAGTTGACCCCTTGTTGGTGGCTGAAGAGAAAAGACCAGAGAAATACCCATCCTGGGCGGGGCCCAAGATTTTGAGAAACCGACTGTCAGCTTGCAAGTCAAACTCCATGCCACAGAATATGACTGCTGTGACTAATTTCCTCAAAAAGCGGACATAGCCGGTTCCACGTCTGTCTCTGTCGCCGTTCGTTTTTTGGCGGCCTTAGTTTGTCGTTCAGCACCTGCCAATCTTGCGTTGTATCCTTGGGCCACGTTTGCCGTTGATCAAGCCGTGGCACCGTTTTTCGCCCAAGTTGCGGGTACCCCTCCAGGACCGGGCGCACTTGGGGTTAACTTCCATTGCCAAAGTGGGCCATCCCCCATTGATCACTTTGCTGAACGGTTCTAAACGCCTTGTACGCTGATGCCATTTCAGCAACTCCATCGAGTTGCCAACCTTGGCCGACCCTGACAAAGAGGCGCCAAAGGAAACCAACCCGATTTTCTAGCCTTGTGTGTTGCTCGGAGCAACCCTGCTGTTAACTTTGGATTAATCCAGAGATTCCTTTGACGAAGGTCCGCTGGATTAATTCAAAGTTAACATTGCTGGGATAAGCCACCTACCAGGACCTGCCAAGTGGGGGAGGAATATTCCCCTGGCGGAGCAATAGCATGTTAATTGCAAAATTATAGTTGTCATTATGTGTCATTCGCAACATGTCATGCATAGTGATATATTATATGCCAGTTTTACATGAAACACCATGTATGGGTAATATATCATTGGTCAATTATCACATGACTCGCCCACCGGAAAATGGGTCCCCCCTGGAAGAAAGCTGGTGTCGCAAACGCCCGGGGAAACGTGACGTCGCAAAAAACAGAGCCCAAATGGGGTGCAATGACATGCAATGCCTTGGTCTTCCAAGGACCCGCAAAAAATCAGTGTCCTTTTTGAGCTTGCTCTTGGTTTGATAAATGGAAAATCGGCCAAAGGCATGTTTTTCCAGGGGTCCTCGAAGGTTTTGGAATCTGGAGGCTTCGGCACTGGGCCCCAGGCCCGCAGCGCTGCCCCGCTGGCTGGGCGATGGCCGTAGGCGCGCGCCTGTCGAATTTCGACGTCCAGCGGGACAAAGCCAAGCAATGGATACCACACCAATGGGATACAAAGAGGAAAATTATATAGCCAAACACGAAACAACAAGGGGCTCGGCATATACCAACACATTCTACTAGACTTTGACATGCCAAAGTCTCAAAGAGGGCTTTCCTGGAAGCGCCCCTCGAGTTAAAGAATGGTGTGAGGCCTGCGGGGACGCCGTGTGCTATCCACAGGCCCGAGACAAGTCTCCGCGACAGGCCCGCAACATTGTTGTAACTGCAGACTTGGCTGTGGGTCAAAATCCCGCACCCCAGTGAACATCCCAATCCCCACTAAAATAGACTAACATGGATGGTGCACCTACCCCAAAATAGTACCATTGGTTTTGACCCACAGCCACTTGTCCGTACCCTTCCGGGCATGGGAGGTTTGATGTAGCTTTGGAAAAAGTGACTCGATGATCAACCCACCTGTATCCACCTGTCACAATGATGATTAGCTCTGACCATCCATCTGTTTGATCATCCAGCAACGGATGTCACAAACAGCGGAAACTCATCTCGAAGCCATGTTGAACCATCTACCTCTATCCCTATAGGCAGAGCTGCTGTTTGTTGTCATGGCAGTGGGCTGGCTGTCAGGTTGAGTCTGGTTTTGCAGTGGCCTTCCCACTTGAAGGTCCTAGAAAATCGGCTCCACTAACCAGCAAAACAAGGCCTGCTCACACCACCTTGTCCTCGAAGGGGCTTTTTGAAGGCGTCAAGGTTAAAGGGGACCCTAACAGCAAACACCTCCTTGCGTCACTCAAAATGGTTGATTCCTGAGGCTGAGCCTGTTGAAATTTCCTTAGAGCACTTGCTTGTCCATATCGGTCGGGTAGACTGAATATGTGTCAAAACACCAAACATGGGATTCGTTTCTCCTGCTGGTGCCCTTTTCAACCAACCCAACAAAAAGCTATCCCAAAAAAACACGCAACCAAATATGAAGCCCCAGCATCTGGATAGTGAAAAACGGCAAACATCCGCCGCCTCCAAGCTTCCCGTCTCTTTCGCCAAGTGTTGGTACCTGAGAGCGTCGCGTTCGTGCCGGAACGTGACCCGGCACAATGCAAACAGGGATCGAACCCAAATCACGTTAGTCAAAGGCATGTGGCAAAACTGGTTGGTATATGTCATGTTGGATCAAGGTTGGTGAACATGGTGTGATGCAAAAGCATGCTGGTAGACATGGTTGATCTGATCGGACCCCAAATAAGCTCATTTTGGTAGACATGGTTGAAGCTCAATTTCTTGCATGCCTGCGCCGCATGCAACCTTCACCGGTGCCACTTGCCTGCACAAAAGGGATCGAAGGAATCAAAGGCTGCCAAACCTTCTCGTCTCACCTGCCAAGGGCGTCAACTAAGCGTTCGGACTGTGGCTCGCAAATTTACATGCAACCCAAAAGGCCCAAGGGGAGGTTCCATGTGTATTACAAGCTCCCGGCTTCTGGTCTATTTGATTCTGAGCCGCTGGCACGCGCGAGAGCTCTGTGTCTACCTGCCCGCGGAATGAATTGCCGAGATAGGTCCGGGAATTGGTTCCGGGAGTCCGGGAGCTTCGCTTGGATTCAAAGGAACTGGCAGAACAAATCCCCAAACCAAAGCAACACATGAGACAAGCTAAAACCGAATCCGCTGAACTTGCTTCCGCTCGCCGTATGGTCCGATAAGATGCTTGCAGAACATGTGCATTGCTGCCCCAGGATAAATCCCGGGTTGACTGACTGTCCTTTCTCTCTCTCTCGCTCTCTATGTATATATAAAACCCAGTGCTGAGTAGGATACTGTGAGATTTCTTAGCTCTGAGATGCTAAACTTTTGCGACATGCCATTTTCCAGTCGTGGTCATGCCTTGGAACACGCACGAGACCATTCACATTTGGAAGAAACAGCCCTTTAATCCGCCTGCTTGATATTGGTTTTCCGCGTCTAGAGCTTGCGGTGGAGGTCCCAAGTATGTTCAAGGAATCATGAATCTGGAAATTATATCATCTCTACTCTTGGTATGGTAGCCAAAAAAACTTTGTTTTTTGCAGACCCCGAGTAAAAATGAACAGAACCAAAAAACTAAGGAACTGAAAAACATGCCAAGAACAGTGAAGATATAATCATTCAAGCAACTGAACTTTGAGGGTTTCCCAAGTACAGGACTTACATCATGAGCATGTTTTGCCACCAGCTGTTTCTCTTCTGAGAACCGTCTCCTGCGTTCTGTAGTTGCAGAGTGTCTCCTGAGCGTTAAGCGCGATTGTTCCGCAGTTTTCATAGTCCTGCCAAAATTTCAAAGGAGTCTCTGAGGAAAGGGCTTACATCATCCGCTCGTTTCCTAAAATAGGCAGAAATTACATTTTGTGTAGCAACAAAAAGCTAGTTGCAGTACATCATCGGAAACTTGCCGCAGATGCTTCCAACTTGTAAAGTACCTTTGGAGCTTGAACACATCGAATCTTTGCATATCCTTGCGGCATGTTCTTTCAGCAGATTTTGCGGCTTTGGGCTTGGGCTGCATGAAATGACGCAAAATCAACTCAACTCAGGTATGTGTCAATAGGGGCATCTCCCCGAAAAATCCATTTGTGTGTTCCTTCTGGTGTAAACCAGGTTTTTGTTGAGACAGCACCTCAAATAAACCCAGACCCGTATTGTCCCAGAACTCCAGTGTGAGTTCGACCAATGCGAAGTTTCGCGCACCCTTTTGGGAGACTTGGGTCTGTCTTTCTTTGGAGCAACCAAAACGCATTTTGGGTGGTTGAAAGGCAAAGCACAAGAAACACCCACCCAGTTCCAGGGTTCCGCCCCACTTCCGGGGATCCGATTTTACTTGATCGAGTTTTCAGGAAGCCAACCTGGCGACCAAAACCCAACATGACCGTTCGTACCTGCAGGCTCACCGGGAAGAGTCGCTCCCTTAAGATCCGGGCCTCGGCAACGAGCGCGTCACATGCGCGCTCGCGATGAAGCGCGCGTGAAGCGCGACCGAAGGAGTTTTCGTCGAGACAATTGGTGCTCGAGTTCCCGATTTGGGTTTGTCTCCAAATAGAAGTCATAAAATGAGTGCTTTGATATCGGCTTCCCTTTAAACCGATCCCAAAGGTGGTACCACACAACAAAAAACACCCATTTAGAAGAAATCCCCAAGCAGAAACCATGGCGGCTTTTTGTTTGGTCTGCCAACCAGTGTGAAAACAGCATTTTGAGACATCCAAGTGTGTCACTTTCCGGAGTGCTATGGTCTGAGTCAACATTGGCAAGAATCTCAGAGCACATAAAGCAAAGCAACTGGGTGCACACTTCCGAATGACTAGAACTCACCCATCTACAGTAAGGAATTCATATCAGAAAGGGAATTTCATCACAGGTATGTGAGCCCGAATAATGTCTGGCAATCTTGCCATTATCATTATAACGGAACCACATGTCGTCAGCTTCTGTTGCGTTTCCATTCAAACTTCACCCAAACGGGTTTCCCATTTGGAGACATACTCTCGTGATTGTCAGCAATTAGGCCGTGAGCCAAGCATTCCTTAGTGCATAAGCAACAGGCAAAAGTATTTCATAACGTGAGTATTTCCCGCTCTGTGAAAACAGGGACGACTGGAGTTTTGCCTGCTCTTTGCCCTTGCCAATTTACCACCATGGCGTAGCGAGGAGCGTCAGGTCAAAAGGATTTGACCGTTGCAAGACAACCTATCGCAGAGCGTGTCGGTTTATTTGACTCCCTATCCAAACCAAGTGGGGGGGGGGTTAATTTGACTCCCTATCCAAACCAAGTGGAACTGGCAGGGGGTGGAAATACATACACCTAGTTCATACCACTTGCTTCCCTTGCCCCATGTTCTGTCCATGCTACTTCCCCGCCTTTTTGGATATGGTATCTTCCAACCCAAGAACGATGCAGCAGCTGTATTTTACAACACCCCCAAACTCCTATAAACACACTGGGAAGTGCTGTCAACACAATATGGTTCGTTGAGAAGGCACTGTCCATTTGGGAAAAGCCTATGGCCAAAAATGAGGCACCTTGCAGTAAAAACAAACGTCGGCTTTTCCCCGGGGTATCGTGCCTTCTCAGGTCATTTTTTCGGGCGGTTCCCCCCAGCCGGTTCTGCGTCGGCCTGATCGGGTCCCCTGTTTGAGGATCCTAGCTGGTTTTTGACCACAGGGAAAACCAACAGGGTTCCATGTCCAGTTCCAGGGCCAGATTGCTTGCGAAACAACGCCAAAAGAGAAAGAGTACTCATTGCGTTGAACCTTCGTGTGAGGGGGGGCCAGCTGGGAAAGCAATCATCAAGCAAATTCATGTATGGGTATAGCGCATTGAGAAGGGGTCCCCAGAAGCCTCGGGGATGGGGGTCCAGACCCTCGAAAGACAGCAAGACAGAACAAGAACAGGACGTGTCCAAGCGGAACAAAGACGAGCCACCCTGGAGTGGTGCCCACAGCGACACCCCAAGGCCTTGGTCTCCCGGGTCTCCCGGGTCTCCGGGCGCCCTGGGGCCTCACCGCCAGGCTGTACAGCCCGAAGAGCGGCCCGGGGCGCCCCAAAACGCATCCCGCCTCGGGGTCGAGGTTCGGTCGAAGAGCACCCGACGGGTTGGGGTCTGTGGATTTAAACATGGGCGCGCCTTTTGTCGAAGATACCCTTGTTTGGGGTTGGTTTAGAGGGAAGCTACAGGAATACCCACCCATTTTTTGATTTTTTTTCGGGGGTCTCCCTAAAAGAAAGACAGACCCAAATGAAGTATTGATTCCCTTTTTACCAAGTCCAAAAGATTGCCCACCCTTAGCGGGTGCCCTCTGGAGCCTCTTCTCCCTACCGTTTTCTCATATTTCGTTTTAGAATTGGGTGGTGGGATGACGTGGACAAAAACCACCTTGACTGAACTCGTGATCCTAAAAACCAAAAAATGAATTGCTAGTGAAACAGTTAGTTAGGCCCTTGCAAGTGGGAACCCTGTGGAACCAAAGCAACGTGCACGCGAACGGAATGCCGGATGAATTTTCAAGATGCAGCCCCTATGGATCCACCAGCTTTGCTTCTTTTTATCCGGGCAGGCATGAGGAATCGTTGGATTTTGTTCAGTTCCAGGTTGTCGGGGTAAAACAAATTGATGCACCTACGCACCTCTTCTAGGTGATCCATTGAACAAAAGCATGCTTGGACCCTGTTCAGGTTGCATTGCACCGTCTGTTCAGGCCCAAAACGGGGTGCTTGTTCACAACCCTCAAGTGGCAACTGCCCCCCCCCCCCACCCACGCCCGCCTTCCGGCACTCTATTTCTACGTGAATAGCTTACACTCGCATCCTTTTCAGGACCGGGATGCGGCTCATCGCAAGCAGCCACCCAAATTCGCCTATGATACGCGTGCCGTTGTTGGCTCTATGCTCATCTTGGGGTTCGGGACATCGGGACACACCCAAGGCCAAGGTGAACCACACAAAGACCGAAAGAAAGCTTGGCTCCGCATGTTCCCATGCTATCCATATGGCAACTATCCAAGGCATGCCTGCTCTTTTTCATCGGGGCTAAGACTCAGACCGGAGTCTGAGAAAACTGGACTGCGGCCTCGGATATGGCCTCGGTTTCATGTGTTCTCAGGTTTCCCATGCTTCTTGGGGCCCTTAAAAATGGGTTGTTTTCAGGGCTCCTGAGGAATTGGTCCGGGTTCTAGGGCCCTGGATAGGGGTCATGAGCCTTAGGGTGGCGCTTTGAGCTCTGAGGATCTTTATCCTCGCGCGCACGCGGGCCTTGGGCCTGCAGGGCGCGATTCGCAAATCGCGCAGGGCGCGATTCGGGGCTGGCAGAGCCCGGGGCGCCGATGCGTGCGGCGGATTTTCCGGGCGCCAGCGGTGGAAGGATGGCCCTTCTATGCCTCTTTGAAGCATAGCGCTCAATCGTAATCCCACAAATGCGAGTGGCTGAGTTGCTGACTGGCAATAGCATGAAGTGAGAGACATTCCTTTTCCAGCACATGGAGTCAGTGCAGCAGCCTCAGTTTCAAAATGATGTGACAAAGCAAGCGCTCCGCAAACTGCAGCACACTGAGATCACATGTTTCGGTGTTGCGGCGGAGCACCTAAGACGAATTGCTTCCGCCAGACCTTCTCAGACTTGTGCTAGCTTGTGGTAGCTTCAGATCTTGTGTTTCTTTCAAGATTAAAATGTGGCTTATTGAGGTGTCCCTTGTTCAGGTTGGTTTAAAGGGATTCCAAAAGGAAAACCGCCAATGTTGACCCCCTGATGGCAGCCCGGTTTACCGATTGCGCTAGCCCATGCTGACAGTCGCATGTGGAAGAAGTGCACCCCTTTGGCACTTGAGACTCGGAATTTGCGCCGGGACGGCGTAGTCGGAGAGCTGTGGCTTGGTCAACAGCTCGACTGGAGCCCTAAATAACGAGGGCTCGCCTGAAAAAAGGTGCGGTCCAGGGCCATTGAGCATCCATTGACAACATACGTCTAGTTTCTCCTCAAAAGCAACATCAACATGCGCCTCTCATTGGCAATAGAGACACTAAGCGCGTAGCCCGCTGCAAGCAGCTGGACCTTTTCACCGTGCGGCAAGAAAGAGCCGGCACGGAAATGGCAAATTCGCCGATGTTCGGCCTATTTCTTCTTCTTGGGCTTTTTACCCTTCTTCTCGCTGTTCAGAGTATCAAACTCGTGATTCTCCTCCTTCTCCTGGCCGACAGGCGGCAAAAAAAAAAAGAAGCTCTGCACATACCTTCCGGCAGGCGGACGTGAAGGCTCCCAGGACCTTTGGAAAACTTTCCGTTTAAACTTAGAGTGGCCTTCTGAGAGCTTCCATATGGAGTTCTAAGAGGGGGAGGGCACAGTGTATGATTGTGCCTTAGTGCTTGCAAATGCCAGGATGCTCCGCTCAAACACCGAGCAACTCAAAGATGCATGGTTGGTCCAACAGCCCCGTATTCGGGGCACAAACATCCACGTGTGCAACGAATGCCTATGCCTACATTACCTATGTGACCCACGTAAGTGACACAAGCGACGTAGGTCCACCCCCTTGTGATTGGGTTCAACTACCCTCCCGAACAATCATGGACCCTGGCAGGGTTTTGACAGTCCTCTTGAAGGGGCCCAAGAATCTTGGAACCATGCCATGTTGGACCCCTTTGGTGCTGGTCTCCCATCATCGAGCCATAAGCTTCACGGTCAATGGACCAATACTGTGGATGGACAAAAAGTCCTGAATCACCTAAGAACCGTGGAATGATGTTTTTTGGTAAATACCCGCAAACAATTCCATCGTTTCATTTCGTGGTGCGAAATGGATTCGCAACCATCCACAGTAGGCCACTCCTCTTTCGGCTGCTTCAGCTTGCCCAGGATCTTCTTCAGCTCATTCATCGTGATCTTCCCATCGTGGTCTTCATCTAACAGCCTGGCACCCATAACCCTTGAGAGGTGCCGTTTGTCACACGGCTGCGACTCATGCGGCTTGATGTGTTTTCGCTTTTTCTGTTGTTTCTTCCGATATACAAGACTTAAAACTGAAAACTGATGGGGTTGCCCTGTTTTGAAAAATCAACCAATTGTGAGGTTTATGCATTCTGGGGCAATGGGGTCATTGGTCCGCTTGAAGGGCACATACTGTAAGGATTATGCTCACGGTGTGAGTGAATTCAAGCAACCTCTTTGAGTTCAAACATATTGCTTTTACAAATGCTATTCACAGACAATACAGGATCAAAAAAAAGAAGAAAAACAACTTGGGAAGAAAGTTCAGGTGGTCGGCTTCCAAGCCCACGTTGCTGTTCTTCTCGATCCTTTGCTGTTTTTCTCTGTCTCTCTTTTTTTACATTTTCTGAAGTCGGCACCTACAAAGTCTAAACTGCATGCTGCCAAGCAACTGAAACATGATGTTGATGTCACCTTCGTAGCCCATTTTTTCCACATTGGTCACCTCGGCCCGCGGCGCATACGGGCCTGCAGTGCTGACGTGCTCCAAGTGTGTGCAGACTCACGACGGCATTTTTGCTCGTCGGAAAGGACTCTTTCCAAAGATACAGGCGGTATCTCTTCATGGCTAGCGCAGCTTCAACGCAATAAAAATGGGCTTGCCTCAAACTCATGGTTCCCTCAAAAAGGTTGGTCTTATCTTCAATTTCTTTCACCTACCACCAAAAGGGAGTACGCCATTTGCGAAACAGGAGGCCAAAGCAGCACCGGATCTTGAACGGCTGGAATTTGAGCTTGCGTCTGGAAGCATGCAAGAGCAACTGATCTCCAAACACATGTACCAAGACATCCTTTAGATTCCAGGGTTCGCTATAGTCCCTTTAAACATCGGCTGCAGGCCCCGTCATTTTATCGGAATCCTTCTTGACTGCCTTTCTCCAAGTCCAGCGTCCCTTTGAACAGCGTGCCGCTTTCTACCTGCAAAACGCCTTTGGCCAGCCACATCAAAGCATGTGACGCCTCCGAAATAAGTAAACAAATATAATATATATATATATATATGTGTGTATGTACGTACTAAAAACAGCACAGAACCAAGGAAATGGTGTAAGCTTCATCTAGTAGCCTGGTATCCCGAACGCCACGGGCATCTGGTCGCACACACTTGCGTCGCAAGAAGGGGTCAAACCTGACCCAAACGGCCTCTGAACAAGGCTCGCCGATCTGCAAATGTAGTCACCTGGATCGCCAGTTGCTGCTTTTTCCATGCACTTTACCCCAAAAACCAGCAACAGTGACTGAACAAACAGCAACTTGGCAATCTAGGCAGGAGTACTTTCCCCATCCGTGGGTAGGCATGGACAGGCCCCTGAAAAAAAAAAAAAAGAAACTTCGACCGCCCCTCACGTCGGAGCCAAGGGCGCGAATTCGTTGCAGTCCAGCTCCAGGTCATGGGAAGCGTCGAGGACCTTGAAGGCATCCTGACATCCGGCGAGTCGCGCTGCGATGTCGCGAGGTCGCGAGGGTGTGCAACCAAGCTGCCATGTAACTCGGTTATATTTACCCACAAAGACGCCCAAATGGTCCAAATGTTGGTATGTATATAAATGGTTCCATGTAATGTTGACCCCATATTAATCAACCAACCAGTTTATTACTACGGGGGTCAACCTGGGTGAATTGCGAGGAATCAGACCACTTTTGGAGGGGCCAAAAACCACCCCCCCATTAATACACTGGGGTTGATTAATATGGGGGTCAACATTAGGTAATATTTACCCACACAAAGACACCCTCCGAATGGGCCAAATGTTGGTTTATATATTGCCTTCATGGTTTGTGTGGGAACAATCACAACCTTCACAATACGGCAACGTCGAGTCAATGATGACAACCACGACAGCAGCAGAAGCAGAAGGAAAAACATAAGCAAAATCACGTGCAAAAAACAAAAGCGCCAGCAAAAGCAGCAGCCGCCAGGTTGGCTGGGGGCTTCAAGTCCAATAACCAGCCACACATCCACAAAAGCCAAACTACTGCGTTAAGCTCGCCCTGAAATAGTCATCTCCAACACCATAGACACAGCGAAATGAGCCGCTCATCGACGAAGGGCAAACCTTGGCCGAGGCAACCCTGTGA